GAGATTGTAAATATTGAATTTAAAGTATCCAAGGGACTGGTGGTCTTAAAATTCCTTGAATCCAAGGACCTTGAATGCTTACTTTTGAAAAATATTAAAAAAAAAAAAAAAAGGAGTGGGCTGGATTTGGGGAGAATAGGGAGAGATTGTAAATATTGAATTTAAAGTGTCCAAGGGACTTGTGGTCTTAAAATTCCTTGAATCCAAGGACCTTGAATGCTTACTTTTGAAAAATATGAAAAGAAACAGATAAGGGACAACCGTTTCTACACAAAAGGGAAAAAAAAACAAAAACACACCAGTAATGAACACCTATGTCCCTAGAGGGCAGGGACAGCATCTTCATTTGAACCAAGAGAGTATAAAGCCCTGGCTGCTTCTTCCAGCCGGTTTCTGTACTCTAGTTTCTCATAGTTGGAAGGGCTCACTCCTTTAAAACCATGCATGACTCCCCACCAGCAACCAGCAATGGCAGCCGTGGAGTCGCTGTCTCCTCCATGGAAAAAGGCCCGGTGGGCAAGCTCCTTCCAGGAGTCTCCTGCGGCCAGGATGGCATCATAGGCAATCATCGGGGCATCGTGGCCACTGCTTCCACCCCAGCCAGAGTAGCTCATGGAGGTATAGAACTGGTCTCTCTCTTTCACATGGAAATCTTTGGGGAAAGTAGGAGCTGCTTGGCCATCCAAAATCCCTCTAAGTTTTAGATACTTTTCCCATTGGTTTTGGAAGTAGGACCAGTTTTGAAGATTCTCCTCCACAAAGTATCCTGATTGGACAATGTACTTTTTAGCTTCTGGCAGCACTTCCATCAGACCTTTTCCCCATTGCTGGGGTGCTCTGCCATTCACAGCATAGGCTGTAAAAAGAGCAGACACCAGGGCGCCCAGGTAGCCTGTGGGGTGATGGTGGGTCATCCGCCCGCTCTCGATGCTCACTTGGATCAGAGTATCCAGCTGGCTGTGGTGAGGGAACCTGAGACCGATGCACATGGCACGCATGGCAGCGCCACAGCCCCCCTCGTGGTTGTTGAAGGGAATCCTCCAGTCATTGGGCTTGTGTGGCTCTAGCTTCATGGCATTCTGCATCGAGGCACCACCAGGTGCTCGGCCATTCATGTCTTCCATGCAGTCTTGGTAATGCTTAGCAAGGAGAGAATACAGTCTCGCCACGTCCCCGGCTCTCCCAGTTTCTATGAGGGCTTCCGCTGTGGCCAGGTGCATCACTGTGTCATCGCTGACTCTCCACCTCTCCACATCGATGGCATCCAAGCCACCGCGCTTGGCCAACTGCTGGTGAATCTTCTCCCCATCCCGGAGGAACTCCCACTTTCCATTACAGTACCCTAGCGCATCTCCAGCTGCACTCAGCACCATGGCAGCCACATACTTGTCGCTCAGTCCCCCACACATGGTGGATCTGCGAGGTTGTCTCTGGGGAGAAACTATGACACCTGGTCGCCACTATGGGCCACGGGACGAGGACGAGGCCGCGGGCCACACTGTGTAAGCATGTGAGATGTGTAAGCATCTCAGTGCTGGCAGGGGTCTCCACATGGCTGCTCCAGCACCTAGGGCTGCACCAGGGTAGGTCCATGTGGCTTCTCCCCAGGGATGTCTTGCAGGAAGTGAGCCTTGCCAGCTAAATCAGGGAACTGGCTAAGGCAACTGCACCCTGGACAGACCAACAGAAAGCAAGAGACCCGAGAACTAGAAAGGCAAAGCACACTGAGCCATTTATCCCTCCACCTTTCAATTAACCCCACATGTGTTTATCGGCCAGCTTGGCACAATAAACTAACTTCATGTTCTATTTAAAAATTCTGCAGTTCAATTATTTCAGTACCTTCTGAAAAAGTAACCAAGTGTCTTAACAGATATGCAAGTTGCCGTGTTTTTTATTTTGAATGCATTTCAGTATAAAAGCACAGGCATTTTAAAGTTCATTTAAAAGGAATTTACTAAGCAGGTTAGCAAGCCATGGAGACCAGTTCCCTGCTGTTCCATTTAGCTGTGGGGAACAGGAACACCTGCTTTCTCAGTGTTACCAGATTATTTACATGTGCTCCATGAACGAATCCCCAATTTGAGGATTCTGTGTAGACGCTCCTTGAAGGAAACATTCCCTTCCTCTCATCAGACCCACACCCAAACAAGAGTTCAATATGTAATGCTATTTCCTGTTTAAGGACATGTAAAATTGGATTCCTTCTCCAAGAAGGAATAAGATTGTTTGGGGGACAAAAAACCCCCACAAAATTAAATTAAATTATATGTTACACACAAAAACACTAGGACTTTAGTAGTGGTTTTTACAATGTTTCTTTCCCTTCCATAAGACAAACTTTCAAATGATTTACATTTGTAGGTTTTGGCTGTAAATCCTTATGGAAGCAGACTGCTTCCTCTTTCTCCAAAGAAGTATATTTGAACCACTGGCCATGTGGGTAGCAGCCCAGGGCATAGCCTTGTGCCATGACAGCTCCTTACCATGAGGCTCAAGAAAGTCAAATATTTCCAAGGTTATATACTGAGTAGCACAGGAGAGATCCATATCTAATTTTCTCCTACATAGATATGACCCATTAATAACAGCCTTATAGTCAACTTTTAGGTATTGTATTGTTCCCAGAATACATTCTATTCTGGGTAATGTAGAGAGTAAAGATTTTAAATATATAACTATGAACATTCTCACGTGCCTTCTTCTCTACTCTTGCTCTCCCTCTCTTTAAAATAGAAAACCTGCTAATGCAGGTAGGAAGAGGTTAATGAAGATGAAACTGCCCTCGAAGAGGTACAGTACAGCCAGATGCTCCTTAGAAGCAAAGATAGCAAGACTTCATCTCATCTACTTTGCGTATGTGATCGGGAGGGTCGGTCCCAGGAAAGGCCATCATACTTGGTTCAGTAGAAGGCCAGTGGACAAGAGAAGACCCTCCACAAGATGAAGGTTCCAATAGTAAGTTCAGGCACAGGAATACGGAGGAGGCTGTCACAGAGAGAGGCAGTGTTTCTTCCACTTTACAGAGGGTTACCAGAGTCAGAAGCAAGCCAGACACCTAACAACACGCGTGGCTGAATGCTCTGCTGTCACTGTATTTTTTCTCTTTTTTTAACGAGCGCCTCCCTACATCAGAGCCTCCCTGAAATGATGTAGCCAGTGCTGCCTTTGTAAGCCATCAAAACAAGAGCAAGTTCCATAGATCATAGAACCTTGCTTGGAGAGTCAAAAGGTGGTAGAGTCACAGTGTTGAGGTACACAACTATTGAGAATAAGATAAAGTTGGATGCCATAGACAAGAGAGAGGCCAATTAAGAATTTTCTAGGTGTGCTGTTTTCTCTCCCCATTTGCCTGATCATGACTTATCTTTGTCTTTTCAGGGTAAAAAAAATAGTAGCCATAGTCAAGTCCCAACTAGAGAGGAGAAACAGCACTATGGTAGCACTAAGTGACCAGGTGGAAATATAATGTAAGAAAGGCAAGACATCAGACTGTTTTTACTGTGCCCTTTCCAACTCTTTCGCATGTATGTGAGCTGGGTAAAGAACCAAGGGAAAGATGTCTTGGAACAAAGCAGTGTCCAGGGTACAATCCATGGAAACTCCTCCAAATTATTCCCTCTGTGTGGATGTCTGGGATAGAGGAGCAAACAAGGAAGCACTGTGCCCCAATTGTAACAAAATCAGTTCTCTGTGCTCCAGGGTAACCCTCAACTCACTTGAATACCAGCATTTACATCTTCTATAAATTATTAGTCAAGATTCCTGGTAATCTCAAGGAAGATTAATTCATAGAAGGAAACAGAGCAATTGATGAACATATGTAATACAAGGAACTGCCTACAAGAGAGAAAGCAGAATTAATATGCATGTGGCATACCAACAATTAATATATGAAAAAGTACACTTTAAGATAAAAGGAAGGATATTAGACAGATGGCGTAAGAATGAGCAGTTATGAAAAATAGTCAAGGTGAAGGATTGGGCATGAGAAATGTAATAGTTAAATGAAGAACTCAGCAGGAGAGTTGAATAGCAGGAGTTCAGGAAGAGCAATAATCAATGAACTAGAATTTCAATATCAGGATGGGATGACGAAGAAATGAAAGACAGTGGAAAGTTATGAAGCATAGATGTAGAAGATCAGTATCTACATAACTTTCAAACCTTATATTGTATCTAGAAATTACCATAATGGAGAGCACAAAAAAATCTGTAAAAAAATGCAAACAGGCTTGTGAGAAGGCACACTATGCAATCTATGGCTTAATACAAGTTACGCAAATTTAAAACCCCTAACTCTCTATTTTAGCGAGGAGACTGTATCCTAAAGACACACACTGAACCATTCAGCCACGCCTGTGAGAATGCGAACATGAGGGGAGGATAGAGAATGAAGAGGAAACTGACAAAACCAACTAAGAAAGAGGCCAATCCACAGATGATGAGAAATTAGTTTGTTTAAGTCTACTCTCAGGGCTAAATTTTTTTTTTAAGTTAAAAAAACAAACAAACAAAAAACTCTACAGTCATTGCGTCAATCTTGACGCGCAGAACCCGATAGGACATAATAGAAGTACTATGTTAGTTTCTGAGGCTGTAAATCTTTACAGGAGCGACAGTCTCATCTTTCTTCTGAGGAGCGGCTGGTGGGTTTGAACTGCTGACTTGTTGGTTAGCAGCCCAATGCCTAACCCACAGTGCCACCAGGGATCCTTAAAGATGATAGACAATAGACAGACAGATAAGACCGATAAAAAGAGACTGGTTGCCTAACGTCTCCAGAGAAACTATAGAATATTCCCCTTTTCTGCACCGTTAAGAAGATTTAACACACAGACTTGGAGCCAGCAGGCTTTGGGACCAGGCACTGTGCAGGCCTCGGAAGTACTAGGATGAGCGAGCTATGGGCTGTACGTTCTAGAAAGTTGCTCTTTCTCCTAGCCCCAACTCTATTCCTTTAGCTAGCTCGGAAAAGAAGTTTTTTATAGTGATGCTGCTTTGCATCTAGCAAGTGGAGCTCATATTGTAATTATAGACCATGCCTCCCTTAAAGGATTTGAACACTAGAAACAAAGCCCACATGGCAAAATCACACCAGCCTGTGCAATCATGAGGTGTCGAAGCGATCAGGTATCAGGCATCATCAGAACAAAAAATCATGTCATTATGAATGAGGGGGAGTGGGGAGTGGAGACCCAAAGCCCATCTGTAGGCAATTGGACAACCCCTTATGGAAGGGGCTCAGGGAGGAGAAGAGCCAGTCAGGGTGCAGTGTAGCAACGATGAAACACAACTTTCCTCTAGTTCCTAAGTGCTTCCCCACCTCCCCCATCATGATCCCAATTCTATCTTACAAATCTGGCTAGACCTGAGGGTGTGCACTGGTACAGATAGGAACTGGAAACACAGGAAATCCAGGGCAGATGATCCCTTGAGGATCAGTGGTGATACCGGGAAGGTGGAAGGAAGGTGGGGTGGAAAGGGGAAACAGATTACAAGGATCTACATATAACCTCCTCCCTGGGGGGACGGACAACAGAAAAGTGGGTGAAGGGAGATGTCAGACAGTGCAAAATATAACAAACTAATAATTTATAAATTATCAAAGGTTCATGAGGGAGTGGGAGCAGGGAGGGAGGGGAAAAATGAGCTGATGTCAGGGGCTTAAGTGGAAAGCAAGTGTTTTGAGAATGATGAGGGCAATGAATGTACAAATGTGCTTTACATAATTGATGTATATATGTAATGTGATAAGGGTTGTATGAGCCCCTAATAAAATGATTTTTTTTAAAGTAACAACAACAAAAATTTTAAAAAAAAAGCATTGAGGTCCCCTAGGCCTATCTCCTCCAACTTGGGAATCTTTTGCACTTCCCAATTTGTGAGGTGTAGTTTCCCACAGTGGGTGCAATGGTTACCCACTGTTATCAATTCCTTCCTATGGAGTGACAGTAAGTTTATTGCTTCTGAATACCATTCCCCATAGTCTTCTTGACCATGATAAACATTACTGGGGCTTTAGCTCTTTCTCACAGACACATTGGTATTATTTCTGCTTAGCCTTATTTGGGGATGCCCATCCTCGCTTAACCATGCAAGCACATCCCAACTACCCTATTAAACCCCATCCCTTCTAGAAGTGGTCCTGAATCACAAAACAGAGTCCTACCTCCTCTTCTGCATTTACATCATGGCGTCTCTCTCAACTCATATGATAAAAGTGCCCTTCTTCCTCAATTACCACTTACCTTGCCATTGAATCGTCTCCCAAATTGATGGCAAACCTTTAAAAATATTTTCCCAACAAATTCTGTTTTAGTTTCATCTCCATTTGGTTGATTGAATCTAAATAGTTATTAAGTACTTTGAATATTTCTCAAAATGGTATTAAGATGGGGGCCAGCTCACTGGAAGGAAAAAGCTCACATCAGAAAGAGGGCTTCAGAGAAGAAAGAAAATAGGAATCCCTACCAAAAAAGAACGAAAGAAAAGAAAAGAACAACGGCAAACGAAAGTACAGCGTAATTTCAATCCAAGAGGAAAAACTGCACATAAAAGTAGAATAAATTAAAATGGACCAAAAGGGAAAACAAATGATAGCACGTTAAATTTTAACCTAACTACATCTTTAGCAATGCATTTTTCCACACACTCCGTCTGCAGGCAAGACTTTATACATCCCTGGTCAATGGCCCGAGGGAATTCAATGGAGGCTCAATCTGAGCACGAACTCTGCAAATGGATTTTGGACGTTCACTATTGACCATAGCTTTTAGAAAACTGATGCTCAGAATCTGAAGCCCCCTAGCACTATTAAGAATGTTCTTCCTTACTCCTGTTCTGTCTGAAACTTGTATATAATAAAGGAAAGAACAGCTTTAGGTTTCTCTGTTTATGCACATTAGAGGTTCAAATGTGCATTGTAAATGACGGTTTAGACTACGCCCTCCTAGAGCCAATAGACAATCTCATGCTGAAAGGAGAAAAGACTGAGGTTTCCAGGATTTATTTTATTTGACCTGCCATCAGCACTCGTGGACGCAGCCTTCAGGAAATCAAACTACACATTGCCTTAGGCTAACCTGCTGCACAAGACCCGCTGCTTAAGGTGTTCAAGAGAAAAGATGTCACTTTGAGGACTCCATTGTGCCTGACCCAGCCATGGTCTTTCCCCACCTCATTTGCATGTCAAAGCTGGAAGAAGATGGATGAGGACGAAGGGAAGAATCGGTGTGTTTGAAATACAGGACTGGTGACCAATATTGAGAGTTTTGGGGACTATCAGATTATAAAACCAAATCTGCCTCAAAGGAAATACAGCTAGGGTGCTCCTTACCAGCAAGGATGGCAAGATGTCATTTCATGTCCTTTGGACATATCATGGGAAAGGACCTCATGCTTGATAGAGGGTCAGCAAGAAAGAGGAAGGCACTCAACGAGATGGATTGACCAGTGGCTAAAACGGTGGGCTCCCACACAACAAGGACTGTGAGGGTGGCCTGGGACCAGACAGGGAGACTGGTGGGAGTTTCTGATCCCCAGACCTCCAGAACAGTCAGATAAGAACATTTTTTATTTAAAAGATCATTTTATTGGGGGCTCATACAGCTCTTAAAACAATTCATACATCAATTGAATTAAGCATGTTTGTACGTAGGTTGCCATCACTATTTTCTAAACATTTACTTTCTATTGAGCCCTTGGAATCAGCTCCTCTTTTTTCCCTCCCTCCCCCACCCCTTGATAAATTATTATTATTTTCATATCTTACACTACAGCTGTCTCCCTTCCCCCATGGTTTCTGTTGTTTGTCCCCCTGGGGTGGGGGTGGTGCTATGTCCATCATTGCAATGGGTACCCCCCTTCCTCCCCTCCTCTCCCCACCTTCTGCCTACACTCCTGGTATCACTACTCCCATTCCTGTTCCTGGATTCCATGTGTCGTGAGCTCTTATCTCTTTTCTGTACCTGTGCTCATGCTCCAGTCTAGCCTGCAATGAAGATAAGAAATTTGTATTGTTTCAGGTCACTACATGTGCGGCAATTTGTCATATCATCATCAGAGAGTCGATGCAAACTCATAGCGACCCTGTCGCATAGGGTTGCCCCTGTGGTTTCCCCAGATTGTAATTCTGTGGGACAGAGGACATGGGCAATGTAATCATCCACTATCCCTGGGGGAGGTTGGGGCTGGAAGCCAGGGTGCCTAGTGGCCGCCATGCCCTAGCTAGCACCTGATCAAGTGGCAGGCGAAGGCTCCCCTAGCCGAGGACCTTGCTGGGACCAGGTGGCATGGCAAGCATGAAAGGCTAGCAGGGAACTCCAAGAGAAAACCGCCCTTTCGTGTACAATATTTAAAGACTCAGAAACCCACAGGGTCAGCTCCACCCTGTCCTGCAGGTTCACTATGAACCGGATTTGATTCCATGGTGGTGGTATTAACTAAAACTATCAGAAACTTTTCCATGCAAATCGTGGATGGATTTCGGTTGTCCTCTAAATTACCCATAAAAGAACATGTGAGGGAATTCCTGTAACTGGAGGGCTTTTTAATGAATTGAAATGCGCCTCTTACCTTTGCTTTGATCATCAATTCCTCATGCTTATGAATTAGCTCCTCATTGTCCGACAGTGATGAACCCAGATGATGTTCTTTCAAGTCTTTGATTGTCTTCTGAAACCAACAAGTCACCTGGGTAAGAATCGACAGAGCAAGATAACATTTCAAATGAGCCAAAAGGTGAGTGAAAACTCAGAAATCGCTCCTCAACCTTTCAAAATGTAAGCTACTTACATTCCTGCAAGGGATTAAAAAATATATACAAATTATACAAGATGAGTCCAAAAGTAATGCTATAACTTTATTAAACAAAAATATCAAAAGGTGCCACTCTTGTCTCTCAATAGAGCTTCCGTTTTCCAAGGTGGTGTTTCCATCTCTCGAGCCCTTCCCTGACGAAATCTGTACTCCTGATTTACATCACATCCAAATGGCAGTTTGGGCATGCACAAGTCACATTCCTTTTCAATGTTCTCTGTGTTTCAGGGTCAAAAGGAAACCCAAGGGGCATGATGAGGGCATTAAGTTGTATGGGTAAGGCCCCCAACTCTTCGAGGATAACCCTTACTACTCTTGACTGATGAGCAGGTGGTTTGTCATGATGGGAAATTTGCCATTCACAACTCTTCTGGCCTTTTTTTCACCAATGAAGTTCTTGATTTTGTTTCTTTTAAAAAATCTATGATATTAATTTTTATTTAAGATTTTTTACATAAATTGATTTGAATTGGAGAATAATCCATCATAGTTTGATGAGAATAAGACAAAAATAATTGAATTGGTGCAACTGAATAACATTGAATAATTCTCTTAATAAGCCTCTTGGATAAGGTGACCAGATGTCCCTCTTTTGGCGGGACAGTCCGGATTTTTAACAATTTTTCCCGTGTCCTGCGGCATTTTTAAAAAGTCCCAATTATTGGAAAGAATGCACAACAAGCTAGGGTATATGGTTTTCGGCTGCCATGTGGCTATTTTGCCAGGATATGAGTTTTATCAATGGTGTCCCACTTTTGTCCCGCTTTACCAATGTTAAAATCTGGTCACCTTACAGTCTTGGATGGTTTTGCATCCTTTGAGAAAGTCTACCAAGATTGTCCCTTTGGCATCCCAAAGCATAGTTACCATAACCTCCTAACATGGCCTCTCTGTTTTTAATTTAACTGGGCCAGCACATCTCCTCAGAAGCCAGTCATTTGATTGGGCCTTGCTTTCTGAATGCTATTGGTAAATACAAGACTGAGCTCTTTGAGCTCAGCTGATCTTTGCTCCATGCGTGTGGCGCCCATTGACCCCAAAGCTTGATGAGGCCTAGATGTGTGTTTAACATTGAATGTGCCAAACCATGTGAGGTTCCAACTTGCGTGGGTATCATAGCAATGGTAGTTCTAGGGTTTCCTCCAATCAGCTTCTTGGACTTCAGTCGCAGTGTCTTCATTCACCGAGGATGGTGGTCTTCCCTCTCATGCCTCATCTCTGACGTCTTCCCAACCTTCCTTAAAATGCGTGATCCATTTAAAATCTGTTTCATATGCAACAGTATGTCTGTAAATTTCTTGCAAAGCTTCAATGATTTGCAAAGATATCTATTTGAGTTACATTAAAAATTTTATATTAGCCCTGAGCACAAAATGTGTCATTTTCTTGAAGGCCTCCTAAGGAAACTATGTGCATTACCAAGGGGACTTGTTTATTACGGTCCACTGATGGCAGACATGCATTTAAATATACTTTGTTTGCAATAAACTGGTACATGAGCTAGAAACCTAGATGCCATACTTTTTAGTTACTCTTGTATACACTCATACCATATACTAAATTAGCATATGATCAGGTTTTAATTTTTCTTCATGTAAACCTCTATGTACTTAAGGAAAAAATGATAATCTCAGGGAAGTATGAAAACTATTTGTCAGTTGAGCACATAACATGAAGAACATAAGTTAAAAATCTCCTAACAAGAAGAACAATAATTCATGCACTATTTTAGAGCACAAGTCTTTGCTGGGTAACAATATGAATCTGAATGTAGTTACATAGATTCTTAGGATGGTATTAAACAGCATATGTAGAATTTCATCTTATGCTATAAAAACAGGGTGTAAAAATATTTAGTTTGCTGCAGGTTCTGGAAATCTGTGTTCAGAAAATAAATGGAAAAGTCATTAAAATTCCATTGACATCATAAATGGCACAGGGTGGAACTCACATTGATTTACAATATGTATTAGACACAATGTTAAAACAACAAACAGCAAAGAACTGTGCACTTTTAACGATTGCCCAGTGTGACTTGGAGAGATGACATGGCCCTTTGAATAAAGATTCTTTACCCCGGTTGAAGAAAGGAGTCCTGAAGTGTGACTTTGGATCCCTGAAACAACATTATCCTCCGGGCACATCATAGCTACTGTTTCTTAAGAACCTACCACAAACTAGGCAGTTTGTTCATGGCTTTTCAGACATTGTCATGGGTTGAATATTGTTTTCACTTTCCCTTCTTCTCCTCCCTCCCAGCCCCCACAAAAAGTTCAAGCCTTAATCCCTGGTACCTGTGACTGAGCCCTTAGGGAAACATGCGACAGAAGGTCATATAAGGGTAGGGAGGGTCCTAATCCAACATGATGAGTGTCCTCATAAAAAGAACAGAAGAGACACATAGTCAGAGACACGAGAAGACAGCCAAGCGAAGACGAGGACGGAAATTGGAGTTAGGGTACCACAAGATAGGGCACATCTGGGGCTACTGGAAGCCTGAAGAAGGAGCGAAGGCTCTTCCCTAGAGTCTCCAGCAAGAGCACAGTTTGGCCAACACCCTGAATCCAGACACGTGGCCTCTAGAACTGTGAGAGACTAAATCTCTCTTTCAAAACACCCCATATTGGGGATTTTGTTAGGAAACTAACTCACTTAATTTTTGCTTTGTATGTTTTTGTCTGTATATGAAATCCAGGATAGGTAAATCTACAGAGATAGTAACTGGATTAATAATTACTAGGGACATGGCAGGAGAGGTTGTGGGGAAGTAAGGGCTAACAACAGTAACCACAAGAAAGAAGAAAACATTCTAAAACTGATTGTGGTGATGATTGATAACTTGTTAATATGACTGAACTACTGAATTGCATGATGTGAATTATATGCCAATAAAAAATTAAAAACTCACTGCTATCAAATCAATTCCAATGCATGAAGATCCTATAGGACCGAATAGAACTGCCCATCTTGGGTTTGTGAGGCTGTAAATCTTGGCAGGAGCAGTCAGCCTCGTCTTTCTCCTGTGGAGCACCTGTTGGTTCGCATTGCTCACCTTACAGTTAGCGGCTTAATGCCCACAGGGCTCCTCGGGAAATTCATATAGTCAAGCATCTATATTTCAACAACTCACTGGGAGAGGTTAACACGGCTTTGCCAGGGCCACATAGTAAAGGATAAAGAAAAGATTTGTCTTAAAATCTACAAGATTCCCAGGCTCATGCTCTTTCCTTTGAGCCCTACCACCATGCGTGGGTTACCTAGAGCCCCACAGCCCTGTCATTAGCAGGAAATGACATTAAAGCTGGAAGATGGAACCTGGCAGTCCATGAAAAATGGTGGGGATTGACAAGCCTGACACTATGGTTTTCTGCAGCACAAACTGTCTTGTCTGACACAGCCTTGGAATTCTCTAAAATCTTATAAAAAAGCTGACAAATGAGGGAAGCAAGAGGCTAAGGAGAAAGCTACAGTATGCTTGTGGTTCCACACAATAAACGTACGCCACACACAAACACACGCATGCACAATGGCCCTACATAGAAGTCAGAGTCAGGGAATCACTCAGAAGAGGAGGTCCTGTGGCCATCCCGGGGTTGGTATCATACAGACAGGAACAAGGTAAAAAGGTCTGCACCAACTTTGAACATGGACCAGCATGGAATCAAAAGTAAAATATGGAACAAGAGGTTTCCCCAGCTTTCTGCTAATTGGAAGTCTTTGTGAAGCAGTATTTCAGCCCATCGTCACAGCAATGAAAAGCCTAATGAAGATCGTGGGGCAGGTTTCACGTGCAGGGGACCTCCTCCTTTCCTTCAGACTGTTTGGCACTCTGGGGATACTACAAGGATCCTTGAAGGCACAATGCATTACACATTGGGCTGCTAACTGCAATGCCAGTGGTTCAAACCCACCAGCCACTCCACTGGATAAAGACGAGTCTGGCTGCACCAACAAAGGTTTACATTCTCAGAAACCCTCAGGAGCAGTTCTACCCTGTGAACCAGAAGTGACTTGATAGCAGTAGGTTTAGTTGGTTTCCATGTGAATTACTCATAAACATATATCAAGCCAGTCTCTCATCTATTGTAGCATGTTTACGTATTTATATTTCTTTGAAGGCAGCATATGTCCCTGATATCTCAACCAGAAGTAGATTATATAATATGCATTGAATAAAACCCACAGAGGATATTTTTATTATCAAGACAAAGAAAATGTATCTGATAATATAGTTATGTCTTATAAAACAAAACAAAAAGATGCAGTGAGCTCACAGAAAAGCCCAAGTAGCAGAATTACTTAAGGATTTCATCAAAGTAGATAAGGCATATATCAACTTTCATAATTATTATTTTGTTACCTAATGGAAGTGAGTTTTATTCCTTCTTAGCTAAAGTAGGAGGATCCCAGAAATCTCAAGAATACTTTCAATAGTTAATATAGAGCATGAGTGAACAAAAATGGGCACAAACAGGTGTTCACTAATCCCTAAAAACAGGTGAGAAGCCTGAACCCTTAGCTAATCCTATTAAATTTCATGAGTCAAAGACTTGTCATCTCACACATGCCAGCAGTGATGAAAGCTGGGAAGGGTGAATTGTTTGGGTTTTTAAGGTATCTACTGACCTCATCACCTAGATTTGGCAAATACGATTTCATTCTCCAATGGACGCTATTCCTGTAAGGGAATATACATCCATATTCTGTGGTGATAACCATTATATCCTAGTCACACACATGCCTGTTAGAGCACACTACTGCTCTAGAGCTGGATACTTTTATTACCAGATACACCCTGGAAAGAAATACAAAAACAAGTTGGCATAAAACTCAGGAGTAAGCAGATCATGGTGAGGGTGTTACATCTCATCGTG